GATACAAAGACTGACCTGACAGGACTGACCTCATTCACGTAGTTCAGAGTAGTGAAGCAGAATGCTAGAGCACTACTTACTAGCCCAATCAATGTTTGAACTCAGACTAAACGTGCATTGTATCCATCACCAAGTGTGAAGGAGCCTGGCRCTGTACACAGGAAGAAAGCGCCAGGTCCAGACATACACAGACGARGAGATAAGGATCAGACGAAAGGAGGGAGAAGGATGGGAATGTCGTTAACACCAAGTCTTGGTCACCAATCCCAAATAGTCCCTCRTTGCCATGTCTGAACCCCCAAAGTCGAGTCTGGATCAAATGTCACCAAGCTCCGTATCTCTTCTCTCATAGTCTGCAGATGCAGTGAAGTCAGAAGTTGAGAGGGAGAGAAGAGATGGTGGACTGAGAAGCAGAAGAAGAACTCTCTCTCTCTCTATTACGAACCAAATACTAACCTGTGATGTTGGCGCTGTGCTGCAGGTACCTCGAAGACGAAGCCGGAGCAACGGCGCTGCAGGTAGGTATCTCTAGCCTCCGCCCAAACTCTCTCTCTCTCTCTAGTACTACCCAGCTATGGCGCCCAGCGCTGGAGACTACAACTACCTACTGCGCCCAGCGCTGAAGACTACAAGCTAACGCTACTACTACTACACTGCAGCGCTCCCTCCAGAGTTCTACTCCCGAATCCTGAAGACTACAACTGCCGACTGCCTTCCTCGGAAGTGCCTGGGAAGTCCTATGTACTACCTCGGCCTGCCTGCTGACTACTGGAGGGCGAGTCAGGCCGAGGAGGCAGCTCTTGCCAATGCCGAAGTGTGCCAGGGGCTGGCGTGCAGCAGCCTGCTTGAGGCTGGCGTGGGAAACAGGCTATTAATAGTCTGTTCCCRAAACCCTGGTTCGGTGCCTGAGTTTCAGGGCCGGTCGTTCTGATGAACGACCGAAAATGGCCCTTCGTTTCAGGCTAAAAATGCTGTAGCCATTTTTAGTCTGAAACGACACAGGGACAGGCCCTGGAATTCAGGCTTTCGGCCTGAACCGACAGGGGGCCTGTAAGCCCTGGATTTCAGGCTTTCGACTTGAAATTCAGGCTTTCGGCCTGAAGTTCAGGCTTTTAGCCTGAACGGACGCAGGCCTGCAAAATGGCCTGCGTGTGCATGCGCAGCATGTAACACCCCCCCCTCCTTATGAAGTCAAGCTGGGGCGAGGGCGAAGCCGTCGATCTGAAGGTGGAACCTGGACGCGGGTGCGGCGGGGAGTCGAAGAAACCGGCTTGCCTTGCATCTTGCGTTCGTAGCATGCGAGAACGTCTGGAGTTGTTGCTTGAAGTTCCGCACGGGTTAACCAACGGTCAGCTCGGTGTGTGCAGTATGCAAAATGCACTAAATACTCAGGTGGCTTGTTGCCAAAACGTCGCTGGGAGATGATGTCGCCGACCTCCTGAAAACCATCCATAGAAGGTGGGTCTTCCGTACGTCTCCCGGGAAAGTCATCATGATCCGCTGGCGTGTAGAGAGCCAGTTTGGAGCAATGAAAGACTGGGTAGACAGGCAAGTGGCTAGGCACCTGAATCATGAAGGAGGGTTCTTCGTGTGTGTCCCCAGCGGGCTCTATGATCGGCCAAGGCCCCATCCATTTCGGAAGGAGCTTGCGAGAGACGTCTTGTTCAAGGCTGAATTCCGCTGCTGAAACCCAGACGAGGTCCCCGGCGTGGAATGGACAAGGAAGACGCTGGCGATTTGCCTGCTGGCTCATGCGCTGTTGCGTCTTAGCCATCTGGTCGCGTGCCTTGACAAGAAGCTCTTGCATCCGACGCAAGAAAAGAAGATGGTCATCGCTCTCGGCCGTGCGTGGAGTAATCGTGTCCAACGGTGATGTGAACGGCGAGTCGTGCTCGAACTCGAAGGGCGATATCCCAATAGCCGGGTGGATGGAAGAGTTGTAGGCCAACTCGACGTCCAGTAGTCACTCAACCCAGTCTTTCTGGTCGGGGCGGATGAGAGTGTGAAGAAGAACCTACGCGGTATGATGCGCCCTCTCCGTCTGGCTATCGGTCTGAGGGTGGCGAGTTGAACTGGGCTTGAGAGATGAGCCCCATCGCTTGATGAGCGCCAACCAAAAATCGGACATGAACCGAGTGTCGCGGTCGCAGACGATCTCCTTGGGGTAACCCTTGGTGCGAATCCAACCGGCGTAAAGAACCTCGGCCAACTCCAGTGCCTTGGCATGATAGCGACAAGGCAAAAACATGGCGAACTTGGTGAGTCGGTCGACCACCGTGAGAATCCTATCCACTCTGGACTTGTGCTTGGGGAACGGGTCGGTAATGTCCATGGCAATCGCTTTTGTTCGCCGCAACGGGACTGGCAATGGTCGTAACTCGTCGTACGGACGATGGTTGCGGGATTTGCATCGTCGGCAAACCTCGCATTACTCGCAATAGCGCGTGACGTCGCCGAGAAGGCCGGGCCACCAAAATCGTTGGCGAAGTCGGCCAATCGTACGATTGACTCCAAAATGTCCAGTGGCGGGAGCGTCGTGGAACTTGCCAAGAAGCCGTGTACGCAAGTGAGGATCACGCGGTACGCAAAGAAGGTCCTTCCCCCGCGTGTGGACAAGCAAGTACCCCTCTTGGATCCGGTAGTGAGAAGGAGCTGGATTAGGAGAGGAGCAATTCGCGTACTTGTCGCGAAACTCGGGGTCGGCTTGGTAGCCGCGGATGAAGCTGTTCCGCAGGTCGTCGTCAATCTCGAAGGTCGAGTAGACTGCGGTACAATGATCCGGACGCCGTGAGAGAGCATCCGCAAAACGGTTCGACTTCCCGGGAATGTGATCGGGAAAGAAGTCGAACT